TAGCTTTCTCTTAGTTAACTCTACCTGCTTTCTTGCTGAGAGTCCCTTGGTAGCTTCCCAGCTCATTCCGAGTAGACGCCTAGAAGCCTGGCACTGAACACTGACTTATAAAGCACTGTGTGTGTACCAGCTCCTCACTGTTCTCTTACCTTCTTACCTGTTCTTGCTTTCCTGGCCCCTCAACTCACATCCTCTTTCTACAGTGGCATTCTTCCTCTTCCTACAATGACCTTCTTCCTCTTCCTACAATGACCTTTTTCCTCTTCCTACAATGACCTTCTTCCTCTTCCTACAATGACCTTTTTCCTCTTCCTACAATGACCTTCTTCCTCTTCCTACAATGACCTTCTTCCTCTTCCTACAATGACCTTCTTCCTCTTCCTACAATGACCTTTTTCCTCTTCCTACAATGACCTTCTTCCTCTTCCTACAATGACCTTCATCCTCTTCCCACAATGGCCTTCTTCCTCTTCCTACAATGACCTTCTTCATCTTCCTTTTCTTGGAACGAGCCAAGCACATTTCTACCCCAAAACTTTTGTACTGTGATCCCTTCACTTGGAGCTCTCTCATTCAGGTCTTTGCGGGGCCGGCATCCTCATTCTTTCTTCCGGCCTCAGTTCACCTTGCCAGAGAGATGTGAGATGACCACACTTAGCACAGCCACCCAGTCCTGTGCACTCAACTGTATTTCCTCTAAAGCACTCACTGCCATCTTGATACACGGCCATCTTGATACACGGGCTTTTATTTATTCATTTGTATGTGGCTCTCCTCAGAATACAAGCTTGAAGACAGTGTGGGGATGTTTTGTTCTCTTGCATTCTTGGAACTTAGGGCTTTGCAGATGGTGTGTGCTTGATTGGCCTGTGAGCCCCCAAATGAGAATTTCTTTCCAGTCTTCTCTTCCCAACTGTCTTCCCGTAACAGTGTGCTTGTACTTCTGCCCTAGTAATATCTTACTCCATTACTTTCCGTCCTGTCCATGCAGGTATGTGAGATGTTGTCAGTAGGACCTAGCTTATTTTTATCAGCTTATTTATGGACTTTATCCCGTTATCTGATGCCTAACAAGTGCTGGTTGGGTATTGCATAAACACATAGAGTAGCCTGAACCAGTGCCTGAAACAACACTGTGTCACAGCAGGGCTCTGGCTTTACCAGCCTGCCTGTGACAACCTGTAGCAGATCCTACACAGGTCTTCAGACATGTGCTTCCTCTGGGTCTCACTTGGCATCATACAGCTGGAGGCTGGGCCAAGTGACTGTGTAGCCTTTTAGTGTTGGGATTGTTGCCAAGTTGCAAGTATTTTTAATAAAAATTATGTAGAAAATATCATAAAGGACAGTGTGCAGGATGCGCCAGAGTGCAAAGCATGAAGTGTGACCAGCAAAGGGTGTGACAGCAGGTTATAGATGGGGTCTTTAGACCAGGCCACTGATGTTGTCAGGTGGAGCCTGTCCCAGGCTCCTTACAGATGGTAAATTCTGTAAATTGAAGAGAGTTCTTTTGGGCCTCATTTGAGTTTACCTCCTATAAATGGGTGTTTTACTCATTCAGCACCATGCCTGTCTTCTCCGAATGATGAAGTTATTTCAGACCGGTAGGAAAGGAAAAGATAGAATTCGTATGTAGTGCATTCAAGTCGGCAAAGACAAAGCCTCACCTCTGGAGAGCAGCGTTGTAGATCTTCAAAGCCATCGGATAGGGTCTGCGTATTGGCACATTATGGCTACCATACCTTTCCAAATATGAAATGAAACATCATTTTTATGCCCTAGAAGTGTTCATAGAGCTCAAGAAATACAATGTGCAACCAAACCAGCAATAACATAATTTCATGACTGTGTACTCCCTAGAAAAACTTTAACAGGATTAATAAAAAAGTTACGCGAACATAGTTGAAAGTCTGCCAACAGCTGTTGCAAATTACTGTGTTTTATCTGATGTTCCTCATATACCTGTCTAAACGGAAAGTGAACTTACTCGCCTGACAGCATGAACCCAGATTATTTAATGTTCGTCTCTTCTCCAAAGTTACTTGCTGCTCTCTAAAGACAATTCATAACTGATGTTCCACGGCTGTTCCGTGCACCAGGTACTAGGTTAACCGCTGTCTGAATGGTAGAGGAGGACACGTCGGGGAGGCGTTTGCTCCCATCCATCTTCCTGGAGACTGTGGCAGAGTTAGCCGACTCTCCTGAGTTGTTCTCATCGCAATAAAGTAACCCTTGGTTGACAGACACAGCAGATTGAAATAAGGCAGACGTTTTGGTGAAGATGTTGACAATTCTGTATCATCTTATCATATCAAGAATAAATTTCTGGCAAGTGTAAGAATGTCCATAAAGAAAATAAATTAAAATGGTCTTTTTTGAATTTTTTTATTCAAAGTAGTTTACATATAGTTTAGAAAATCATGTAAAAGTCAAAGAACGAAATTAAAATATACAAAGTACATGCCCAGAGGATAGCACTTTCAGCTTTTGACCACTTTTTTCTACCTTTGCTCTTTTTAAAATTTGTGGCCTCTTTTTCTTTAGTTGTTATTATGTCTGTATGTGTTATATATGTGTGTATGTGAATGTATATATATACACATATACAACACATGTGTCATACATACATAATATATAGTATACACATACAACTGAATCAGTTGATCTCTTATTAAGAATCCTAATCTGATTTTTATCACATAGATTACAAATACTTTTTCAATCAGAGCTTGATTATTAATTGTATGCTTCATTTTGTACAAACATTTTAAAAACATACATTCAAATCCACTAATCCTTTAAAAAATGTCTTTGACACCCTATCTATAATATGGCTACCATAAAAATAGATCTTGTATAAGTAAATAATCTGTTATAAGTTGTATAAACAGAATAATAGTTGTAGAACTTCATTTTTCCATTTTCCTTCTCCTCCTTTTTCCCTTCCTTGTCCTTGAGACAAGGTTCCATAATGCTCTCTGCTTACAAGACTGTATTGCTGTCTTCCTGGACTGTGTAGTAGAACAGGGTGCTGTTGCTGTCTTCCTGGACTGTGTAGTAGAACAGGGTGCTGTTGCTGCCTCCATTTTGCAGTTGTGATAAATGAAGTAGAGAAACTGTAAGTTCTGGGTGAATCTCTGACAGTGGACAACAGTGTGCCACGCCCAGTGTACCATGTGCCTCTGGCCTCTCATGTTAGATTCATGTTCATACACAGCAGTGCTCCACATGCTTCTGCCCTTTCCCATTACATCCATGCCATGTATAGCAGTGGTTCACCTGCTTCTGCCCTTTCCTGCCACACCCATGATCATCCCAGCAGTGCTCCACATGTCTCTGCCCTTTCATGTTACATCCATGATCATCCCAGCAGTGCTCCACATGTCTCTGCCCTTTCATGTTACATCCATGATCATCCCAACAGTGCTCCACATACCTCTGCCCTTTCATGTTACACCCATGATCATCCCAGCAGTGCTCCACTTGTCTCTGCCCTTTCATGTTACATCCATGATCATCCCCAGGAGTGCTCCACATCCCTCTGCCCTTTTCTGTCATGTCCACGATCATCTAGCTCTTAGGCTTCTGAGAGCAGGATAGTCAAACTCTACTTATTTAGTGAGTTCTTTTTCCATGGTCAGACTTGATGAATTTGTTTTCTTTTGTATACTTCCTGTTGAATCTTGCAGGATTGCCCACTACCCATTCTGTAAATGAACCAGAATGGGCTAGATTATGCTATAGTCACAGATAACCTGTAGCCTGAGGACTTGAGTTTGTATCTCTAGTACCCATGTAGAAAGCCAGAAGTCATGGTACACACACATCTGTCATCCTAGTGCTGGGGAGGTGGAGACAGGCTCATCCCTAGAGCTAGCCTAGCCCATCAGTGAGAGACCCTGTCAGTGAGTGATAAAGGTGGATGCCTGACCTTGGTCTGGCTTCTGCACACATAAGCACACAGGTGCACATCTGTCTGCATGTACACATGCACACACCCACAGGAATAAGCATGTTGCCTCCCCATGCATGAAGGCCTGAACAGCACAGTGGTCTGAGGACAGGTGAGTGGGTTGCTATCCCTAGGCTTTTCGTTGAGAACTCAGCCTGAAACTGAGGGAACAATTCAGATTAAACTTTATAGGGACAAGCATAAATCCTGTGCTGAGGAGACGGAGTGGTGCCAGGAAAGCCAATACAGTCCTGAAAAGCGTCAGTGTGTGTTTCTGTATTAGTTGGGGGGATTTGTCTGAATACCCCATTCTCATGACACCAGTTGAATTGCCTTTTGTAGAATATTCTGGGCACTAGTATTGTAGTCATGAGTCAAATTGTCATGACTCTTGTGTTTATAGAACTTAATGTCTTCACTTCAAGAGAGATGAGTTTTCTTTAGGTGAGTGTGTTGAACCAGAAGCCAGTTTGCCAGGAATTGAAAGGGGTTCAGTCAGGTAGCTAATATCACCCCACTGGAGCCAGACAGATACTACAGCCCGTACATCCTGGCCTGACATTTACCAATGTGACTCAGGGCAAACTTCCTCAGAGCCTGGCTGCTTCAGCGTTGTATCCGTGGGCCGGGGCTGATAGTGTGTGTAAAGCCATGAGAAATTAGCCAGACTGGCTGAGTCAGAACAACCTGGCATGGAGCAAACACTGACAGTAGGCAATAATTAGTTTGCAAACAAAATTATATTTTCTGCAAAGCCAAAGGATGCAAGAGAGATTAAAGGCACAAGAAGCCTGGGAATTCAAAGGCCAAATTCTTCTCATTTATTGTTGGTGCTGAAGATTGTTAGTAGTTAGAGCTTCAGCCCGACGGTGCTCACTGGAGAGTCTCCTGTCAGTTTTTGCTTCTTAGACTGGCAAGATATGAACCCTGCTTGGAAAAGCCATGAGGTAGTTTAATTTCTTCCTGGACCCTTATAAAGAAAATAGCTTTTGCAAATAATAAGATAGTAGCCATTTATACCCATTTCTCCCCTTTGGTTTCATTTTAGTGGCAGCTGAAATATCCTAAACTGGTTCTCCGGGAAGCCGGCAGTATATCCGAGGAGCTGCATAAAGAGGTCCCCGAGGCCTTCCTCACACTGCATAAGCATGGCTGCATGTTTCGGGACGTGGTTAGGATCCAAGGCAAAGATGTGCTCACCCCAGTGTCTCGCATCCTCATTGGGGACCCAGGCTGCACCTACAAGTACCTGAACACCAGACTCTTCACGGTGCCCTGGCCAGTGAAGGGCTGCACCATCAATTACACAGAGGCTGAGATCGCCGCCGCATGTCAGACCTTCCTCAAGCTCAATGACTACCTGCAGGGTGAGACCGTCCAGGCCCTGGAAGAACTGGCCATCAAAGAGAAGGCTAACGAAGATGCTGTGCCGCTGTGCATGGCAGAGTTCCCCAGGGTTGGCATGGGGTCGTCCTGTGATGATGAAGTGGACATTAAGAGCAGAGCAGCCTACAACGTGACTCTGCTAAACTTCATGGATCCTCAGAAAATGCCATACCTCAAAGAGGAGCCTTATTTTGGCATGGGGAAGATGGCGGTGAGCTGGCATCACGACGAGAACCTGGTGGACAGGTCAGCGGTGGCCGTGTACAGCTACAGCTGTGAAGGTACAGTCTGCTCTGATGGCAGTGTGACCAGAGTCACACGGGTGTTTGTGTGTTGGTGTGTCCTTTCCCCCTCCATCCTGGCTCACCAGTCTGCAGAGCATCCCTCTTCCCCATCTAAATGCACTCTGGCTCATTGTTGCCCTGTGTGCAGAATATTTCTGCATGTAAGCACTACTGTCATTTTGTCTTCCCATCGCCCAGGAGAGCAGCCGTCGGATCCACACAGCCAATTGCTGTTCTTTAATGCTCGGGGTCGGCTGTTCAGTCACCACAATTAGTTCGCTGAGGAAGAGCTAGGAAAACAGGAACCTGTCAAGTTTCCCCCGGTTCTCACAGGTGTACATTCTTGCCTTGCCAAAATGCTTTATTATGCCTGACATCACCATCTCAGTGGTTGGGATCTGTCAGGTATGGACCTGTTCTTGGCTTCCAATCTTTTTTTATAAGACCCTCCTTGACAGAAGCAGTTAAGTGGCTTCTGTAGGCAGACATTCCAGCTTTCGTGCCTTTTCTAAGGTCCCGAGGCCTTGGAGCAGAGAGCTGTAGATTGCCAACTTGGAGACCTAACTATCTTTTCCTGCTGTTCTGTTTCTGTTTATCTAGGGTCCCCAAGAGTTTCTCAGAACAGGATTGTGAAAGGTACAGAGTGTGTGGAGCCCAGCAGGACCACTGACTCCTTTATTACCTGATGATTAAACAAAGGAGTGCGGGAAGCCCTTGTAAAGCTAGGGTACTGAGTCTTCTGAGAGGGCGAACTAGAACTTTTAAGGTCTTTGTTTCCGGACAATCCCAGTTTCTTTATTGATTTTTGTTGTTTCTTGTCTTTTGTTTGCTGAAATGGCTATTTTGGAAAAGTGATTTAAGAGAAAAAAAAAATCCATCTTATGGTACTCTTAAATTTCTTCATTTTTCCAGTCTCAAAAATTTCCTCAGGATAACTAATATCTTTTCTAAATTTACCTTGGACTTTTAGTCCTAAACAGGGAACAAGAGTTGAGTGTTTGGAAATGTCTTCAGTTTCCCTGGCATCTCAAGTAGTGGTTGCAACCTAAAAATCCCTTGGAGTCCTAATTCAGTGCTGTCCCGGAGGGAGGAGCCGAAGTCCTCTGATCTCGAATACAGCCCTTTGGGGATGGAAGAAGTCCACAGGGAACAATGGAGTTGGTTAGCTGTTTCTGAGGAGGTGGCCATAGAACCTGCTGCCCTGTGTGTGACGGTACGGGTGGGGCGGCCCAGAGCTGTCTTTGTGCTCTGCCCTGCTGCCCTGTTCCCAGTTTAACCATTCTGTTGTACTTCCCTTTCATGGGGGATCAAGAAAGGTATTTAAAATTTTAACAAATAGAGTCTATAAAGCATCTATGATTGGGAGTAGTTAAATCTGGTAAAGAGTAAAAAATGCAGATTGTGTATACATAGAATTGTTGCGCTAGTGAAATGGATCAGCGAGTAAAGGCACTTGTTGCTAAGCCCGACTCCTAGAGTTTAGTCCCTAGGACCCACGTGGTGAAAAGGAAAGAAATGACTCTGCAAATTGCCCTCTGACCCCTCATATATAGGCTGAGGTGCTTGCGCGCTCGCGCACGCGCACACACAGAATAAATAATAAAATCTTAATAAGAACTTTACAGAAATATTTCTACCTGTAGTGACTAGCTGGAAGAGAGGCTTGCGGGATTCCAGTATGTAAGAGCAGAGCAGTGGGATTCCTTTGTTCTCCTAATCTCCAAGATGGCCAGACTTTATCAAATAATCGTGACAGCGCTTGGGGGTTCTTCTCTGAGCACCTGCTGTGGCCAGACACTTGAAGGACTTGACATGTTTTAGCCAGTTTCATCTTGTTCACAGTGCCCAGTGACTAAAGTAGAAGCGAAGTACTGTCACGCTCCATGGAAGGCTGTTTTGATCAATGGCCACACTATAGGATGTTAGCTCTATGAACTTGTAATGGGTCTGAAAATTTTCTATTATCTAGTGACTCTGTAATATCACAGCACAGTGAGTTACTCACTAATACATGTGGACAGGCCTATGGTGCCGTCTGCCTTGCAAGAATAACATAGCCAGCTCCGTCCATATCCCTGGGTAATGATCATAAATGACAGCATGGGTCATGTATTTACTAGGTTTGTTTATTTATTTCTGTTTTGGTGTGTCTTCTATTTATTAAAAAGACAGTTACGGCCAAACTCTATGCTATGGTAGGTGGGAGTTGCTTTATTGACCACATATTATGTCGGCTTTTGAGTGCATGAAAAAGAGGAGTGAAATGTTTGGCCGCACCATCTGTGCTTGGTTTTCACTCAGTGCTTTTCCTACAGGGATAAAATTCCCAAGGACCTACTTCTGAGAATGCACCTCATTGTTAAGAGAGGTATAACTGTCCTTGTACTGTCCGTATTTAACAGATGAGAAAACTGGGCCCTTGTTGGCAGCTAGTGGGAGCAGGGCTAGAGACCGTTAGCCTCACAGGGTAGATTCCTACGCTGTGTGACTTTTGCATGTGCATTTCCCATCTGAGCAGTCAGCTGCTTCGGGAATGTGGGTTTTTAAGATGCTGTACTGTCCAGTTTCTAGAGTGGTGAAGTGAACTTTCTGCTAGCCCTCCTTATGGTGCTTCTTCTCTCCCTTCATCTGTGCTGCTCCGCCATGCACACACACTCTGGGCACTGGAGTGGGCTGAATGAGGATAGTCCGTGAACTGGAGCCCTTCTCTACCATCTCTGTGTCCGTGGAAGTCAAGTGGTGTGCAAACCACATGCCCTGAAATGCCTCAGTGATTCTATTTCTTCCAAATGACAGATGATGTGTGTGGCTCCAACCTCTTTATATCTCTGAGAGAACTGTGGTAAGGGTGAGAAATAAAGCAAAGCAAGACCAGGCCACAGCCCACAACCCCAGAGAACCTAGACAGCAAAGAGGACCCTAAGAGAGACATACGTGGATCTACATAGGAAGGTGAAAGAGACAAGATCTCCTGAGTAAATTGGGAGTGTGGGGGTCACAGGAGAGGGTAGAAGGAGGGAGGAAAGGAAGGGAGGGACACAGAGAAAAATGTATAGCTTAATAAAAACAATAAAAAAGAGAGAGCCTTGGGTTCAAGTCCTGCTTAGAGGTCAGTGGGCTAGAGTGGTTATAGCATGTGGAAATATCGAAGCCAGACTGTTTCCCATGCCCTTTAAAGAGTTCAGTACTAAAGATGTGGGACTTTGCTTTATAAAGAGTCTGAACAGCATGGGGCCCCAAGGACATGTCCCGCCCATCTCTCCTTGTCCTGACAGACTGGCTGAAGTTGTGTGCTCTTGAGATTGTGATTGTGGCATGCTGGATGAGACTCTTGGAATCTCTTGGTCCTGGTCTCCACGTAGAGGCAGGAAGTACTCCACAGGGCTACACTTACTTAGTCGGAGAGTGTGGCTGAGCCATGGAGTGCTTCCCAAGGTGCACTGGGAGCTCAGATCAGAAGTGATTATTTTCTGCTGAACTCAAATGAGCTGCAGCTTACGGTCTTTGGGGACTCGCTCTCACTACCAGGGACTCTTCTGCAGATTTATAATGAGCTGATCATTGCTTTTTCGTCTATTTTCATGAGTAGAAGCCATTGAGAAGCAATTTGTATAGGATACATGCAATTATATTCTAAATTTATTGGACTTCATATGCATTTCTAGCTAATAGATATCTCTAGAAGGAAGATTGAAACAGTACAATTTTTAATCAGGAATGGCTTCAGGGAACCATATGTAAATAGGCAAAGTATTTGATTTTCGTATATTCCAGGCTTGGTGGCAATTGCTTGTTACTCCTAGTTATAAAAAAATGAATTTTAGCAGGGAAAGCTTTAAAACTCATAGTTAATATTGTCTAACACCTTGTTCTATGATTGGAACACCTTTGAAGACGCCACTCAGACTCAATGTTTGGTTACCATTTTGTGCATACAAAGCCTGTGTGCGTGGGTGCCTGTGTGTGCACATGTGTGTGGGTGGGGGGGTGCACAGAGTGTACAGATGTGTGCCGCCTGCACACGTACATGTGGAGAGTAGAACGGGACTGGGAGTTCTCTTCCACCACTTTTCCCTCCTGCTGCTGTCAGACAGGCTCTGGGGTTACACAGTGGCATGCTCAGTAGGGGATTGAACTCAGGTCCTAATGTTTGTAGAGCAAGCCATCTGCTCACCCCTTGTTACCACTTTTGGTCTCTCTCTCTCTCTCTCTCTCTCTCTCTCTCTCTCTCTCCCCCCCCCCCTCTGGTCTGAAAGGTGTGATTCCCTGTCACATTGTCTTTATAGGAAAATTGATCCATAAATTTTTAACTAGTGACCAGTGTGAAGAATTCTCTTGATTAGCTTCTGGATCTCTGCGGAAGAGCTAGGGAGCTAATCCATGTGTGTGTCCAGTGTGTGATAGTCTAGAAAGTAAAGTCTCTACAGTAACTTCCTTAGGACTTCAGGGCTCCCATTCAGGGCTCTGATCTGGGGAAAGAGGAATCATTTTTAAGGGTGGAGTTTGTTCAGTGGATTCTCACAGCCTTGCTGTGAAGCAGGCAGCCCTATACCCCCTAGCTTATCATTAACGTGTTGAAAACTGGCTGGCAATTGCAGGGAGGGGTTGGGAAGTGTTGGGAAGTTTCAAAGGGTTGTATATTTGTTGATCTCCTCTCCCAGGATCTCTGTTTAAGGTGTCAGGACTGATTTGACTCTTGTTTGCTTGTTTGTATTTTGACGTCTTTGTAAACATTTATTTGGTTCTTTAAATGTTGGCTGTCCCCTGACCTTCTCTTTTACCATCTAGAAAATTATCATGTGTTCACCCAGAATACATCTCCTGTTTGCCAAGCAACCATCTAGTAGTTCAGCATTCAACAGTGAGAAAGACAGAAATCCCTGCCTCTGCTGCGGCCGTGGAAGGCAATGGGCAGGCCTTTGCCTGCTACCATATAAAAGTATTGGGCTTGAACCTTGAGTGAGATGGGATTAGAAGGGAAGCGACACTGAGAACAA